CAGCAAGTTCATTCATTAACACGTTTTCAAGTTGCTTGTTTTCAGGCATTTGGTCATAGGAATGAGAAAAACAGCTAAAGCACCATGTTTGGAAAAGGCACTGAGGCAGCCTGGTGCTGTGACAGAAAGCTTTAGAGCTGGGAGCAAGCCTCAAGCCTCAAGGTAACCTTGGGCATCTTAGCAACACTCCAGTCCCCGAGACAGGAGGAAAACGCATCAGGGAAGATACAACTGACTGAACTAGGGCTCTGTACCGTAAAGAAAAACAAAACAAGACAGAGAACATTTCCTCACTGTAAAGCAAATACACAAAAGGCACCAGTCGCTTTCCCTTTTGGAACACTGGGTTAAAACTAAAACTACCAGTTAATTGTGCATATTGGGAAAACGTTAGCCACAGGTGTACAGAAGAGGAGGTGAAGTGAGATGCGATTTCACAGAGGGGCCACTTTCCCCGGGCACGGGATGCTGGAAGACTAGGACGCTTCCAGACCTACTATGAGTAAGAGGACACTAGCAAAGTTTCTATTGCAAGCAGCCAACACACAGCCGTAGCTGGAAATGATGAACTGCAGTTGTGCCCACACTTGTGACCCGCCCCTGTTTGCAGGCACCCTCTTCCTCACGGTCATGCAGGAATGCTGTTTGTCTGCTGGTGGCAGAAACAACAACAAAAGTAAACACAGTTCAGGGCATGGTGCTGCCTGCCTCTAGTACTTGGGAGGCTGAGGCAGGAGGATCACAAGCTCAAAGACTGCCCTGGCTACACGGCAAGACAAGTAGGAAAAACAAAGCAAGCAAACAGAAAAAATGTCCTGGCTCTGAAAACAGCACCTGGACTCAACTGGTAAGTCACATGTCACTTCTGACTTCAAGTGGGGGAGGGGCGACAGTCTTTCTTCCATGTCCCTGGGGAGTGGGAGGCTGGATGTGTGTGACTAGCCAAGGAATGATGCATTTTACCTGTTTGTTGCTCATCAAAGAGAAAAGTTCAATAAGCTGCACAATGGTCCCCATGGTGCTTCAGTTTTGTGGCGGCCTGACTGGTTTGGAATCGCCTAGGAGACACACTTCTTGGGAGCGTCTATGAGGATACTCCCAGAGAGATTTAATGGAGGAGGAAAGACACAAATTGAATGTGAGGGGTCCCTTCCCTTGGACTGGGGTCACAGACTTAATCAAAGGAGGAAAGGGGGAAGTCAACAGAGCCAGCATCCCTGGTCTGCAGAGACGTGAGCGAGTTCTCAGTCTAGCCGCAGGCTGCTCTGCCCCACCGCCCCACTGTGGATGACTGTATCCCCTGAATCATGAGCCCAGATAAACCTTTCTCCTTTACATTTCTTCCTGTCAGGCATTTGGTCACCCCGTTGAGAAAAGAAACTAATACAACCCCCACAGTTGCCATTGGTGGAAAGTTTGCAGATAACCTAGGTGGGTTCTTGAGGAAGGAAAAGTGAGTCAGAGGCCCTGCTAGGATGCACACTTGATTTTCTACTTATGTCGAGGGGAAGCACACCAATCGGTGTGCAGCAATTTGCACAGTAGTGCACTTGACCTATTAGCAACACTGCACATACTAGGCATACTGTCCCATGCCCCGTGACTGAAGTGCTGTTTCCAGGGTGGGGAAACAGTGCTGGAAAGTGTACTTATAGTTTGTGATATCAGCTCCTCACCCCGGAGCTGCCCACACAACCTGAGTGCTAGTACCTGATCCCAGAGGGCACAGGGATGTAGTTTCAGGCTTTTTGTTTGAGGATCTTCCTTGATACAGCTACAGCCTGGCTGTCTTGTGTCTGGGAACAACCACGGAGTTACAAGGTGAACTGGTTTCCTTTCTCCTGAAGTTACAAAGGACCATAAACAGGTGGACTGAAATATCAGAAATGTGTTTTCTTGCTTTCTAGAGTCTAGAAGTCAGAAGTCCAGGTGTCAGCAGGGCCATGCTCCCTCTAGAGGCTCTAGAGAAAATCCATTCCTTGCTCTTCCCTTCCCTCATCTTATTCCTATAACCCAGGGTCACATCACCTACTCCTCTCCTGCCTGGCTTCTCCTCTCATTGCTCTCCCCAAATTCCCCCTGCCTCTCTCATATAAAGGGGCATGTGATTGAATTTAGGTTTAACCAGATAACCAAAGACAAACTTTCCCTCTTGAGATCCTTAACTTGGTCAGGGAGATGACATAGCAGTGTCGTTTGCATCTGCTAAAGGTGCTTGCCACCAAGTCTGATCACCTGAGTCCCATCCCCAGGACCTACATGGTGGAAGATGAGAGCTGAGTCCTGCAAATTGCCCTCTGTGCACACCCCTATACAACCCCTCCCCCCCATAAAATCAATCAATCAATAAAAATTATAAAAATTTTTAAGATACTTACCTTAGGGGCTCGTGAGATGGCTCATCAGTTAACAGCACTTCTGCTCTTCCAGAGGACCTAAGTTCAGTTTCCAGCACCCATATAGGAAGCTTACAACCATCTGTAACTTCAGCTCCCGGGGATCTAATGCTTCTGGCCTCCTTAGGCACCTGCACTCACCTGCATACATGCAGAGACACACATCTACACACACACAAAAAAAATAAATATTTACAAAAGATACTTAGCTTAATCACATCTTGGGTCACATAAAATCACATTCACAGGTTCCAAGGATTAAAACACAAACATGTCTTTTGGGGGATGTGCTAGCTAGTTTTTTTGTCAGCTTGATACAGGTTATAGTCAACAGACAGGAGCAAATCTTGATTGAGAAAATGCCTTCACCAAGAGCAAATCTTGATTGAGAAAATGCCTCCACAACAGCAAATCTTGGTTAAGAAAATGCCTTTACAAGATTGGGTTGTAGGCAAGCCATGAGAGCAAGCCAATAAGCAACACTCCTTCATGGCCGCCAGATTCTGGTCCTATTTGAGTTCCTGTCCTGACTTCCTTCAGTGATGAACTGTAATGTGTAAGTTGGAAGCCAAATAAACTCTTTCCTCCTCAAGCTGCTTTGGATCATGGTGTTTCATCACAGCAATAGTAACCCTGACTATGACAGGAGAGTATCAGCCAGTCTGATATCCAAGGAAAATCCAGAAGTAAGGATTGTTCAGAGAGACCAAGGCTCAAAATACACTCTTAAAATGTGCCCAAAGCTTTGACTAGCTGTCAAGCCGTACACTGAAGGGTGAGAGCCAAGAGCACTTAGTCAAAGAGTGATGTCGGAAGATGGAAAACTCTGAGGGGACATTTCGAGGCTAGTGATGCAAATAGAAGGTCTAGAATCTGAGTCTTCTGACCTAATCCCTGTTTAAAAATGTAAATTGTGCTCTGGACAAACGGAGCCGAGTCAAAAGCCTCTGTTGGGGAGGTAGCTTCAGGTCAAAATTCCAAACTTATTCTTCCAACCTCGACCTGAAGAAAGTGCTGTGCCCTTTCTTACAATCGAGGGGGACATTTGTCTTCCTCATGCCAGGTTTGGTGGACATCTATATGTGAAGGTTTCTGAGGGAAATGCATTGACACACACACAGACACACACAGACACACACACACACACACATGCCCATGCACGCACGCTTGCACACTCACTCTCGGTTCAGTGGTTAAAATCTCTTGCTGCCCTTGCAGAGGACCCAAGTTTGGCTCCCAGCACCCACATGGTGGCTTACAAATGTCCATAACTCCAATTCCAGAGGATTTGGCACCTTTTTGTGTCCTCTAGGCACAAGCATTCATGGTGCACTTACATACAGGCAAAACACTCATACACACAAAATAAAATAAATAAATAACTTCCAAAAAGGTTAAATCACTTACAGAGCACTGGAACCATTTATTAAGCAATTTTATGAAGAATAATAATAATAATAATAATAATAATAAAAATTCTACTGGAGAAAAAAGAATGGAGTAAAAATGTATTTATAGAGATAATGAATGAATTTTATGAATGGCATTGTAGAGATCCAAAATGTAACATATGCTAGCAGAAAATGCAAAAGAAAAAGAAATCACATCATCACACATCACAATCAAGCTGACAAGTTCTAAAAGCCCAAAGGAAGATGTAAAAGTAGGCAGAGAAAAATGATGCATTATAGATAGAGAGAAATGACGCCAGCCACATCTGACTTCTTACTAGAGCAACAGAGGAGAGAAACAGTACCTTCCATGCAGCCAGCTGTGAGTCATGGCTCAGTCACAGAATACTCTATAGCTGATAGTTAGAAATCTGCCTTAATTACACCCCACAGACTGTAATGACAGGGATTAAGAACAAGCCTCTTACTCATTACGCTATTACACAGGCAATGGGCAGCCTCTTAAAAGTGGACAATAAGATGCCAGGCTTGGCAAGGGACATAGTGACTCAGTCCATTTCTGTGTAGGCAAATCTAATGAGGATGTTGTCTAGGAGATGCTAGGTGGGAGAATCAGCTCAGCAATGTCAGTGACAGAGGAAAACTTAGACAATGATGGCCACGTATAACCCTGATGTCCCCAAACCACCCATCCCTCTGGTGTCAACCTTCCTTTAATATTCAAAGAAAATTGCTTAAGTCCTTGATGCATTTCAACCCCAAATACATGACTACATGGTCTCTTCTCTGTCTGTCTGTCTGTCTGTCTGTCTCTCTCTCTCTCTCTCTCTCTCTCTGTCTTTCTCTCTCTGTCTGTCTGTCTGTCTCTGTCTATCTGTCTGTCTGTCTCTGTCTCTGTCTGTCTCTCTCTTTCTGTGTGTATATACACGCTCACTCTACTTATTGGTATTAATTTGCCACCTTATCTCTGACAGTTGCTGTCTCATCTCTCTCTCTTTTTCTCCGCTCCAGGAGTAGAACCAATTACTTTCAATGCATTCCCTGAAGTGCTACTAACTCAAGGTTACTGTAAGAGAGAAATGTACCCAAGAAAATGGAGAATAAATTCTACACAGCATGGCGAGGCTACATGTCAGACAGCATTCCTGGAAGTTATTAGTCAATCTAATTGACCAAGGGATTGCCCACTGACTGTTCTTTCTTAAGCTTCTGATTTTTCTGTGTTGTTTGGGCCAAAGGGAGCTGCAGAGTCTTCCTATTGATTCTTTCCTTTTCCCCAGCTTCCCTCCTTGCTCTGCTTAGATCTGAGAGTTAGTCCCCAAATTCCTATTAATTTATAACATGGGATGACTTAAGTCTTTGTTTTATTTCTTTTCAAGGGTAATTCAAGAACATAACCCAGTATAACAACAATAACAACAACAAAACACCAGATCTGTTTTGTTTCCCATAAAGAATTCTCCAATCCTTGAGTTGTATATTCTAAGACACAAACCTAGGATTTCAAATCAGTGAGAATCCCCATCAAAACCTGTGAGCCAATCAGAATCCTTTAAGAGTAACCGAGTTAAACAAACTCTCCACAAGGGTGTGGTGGGACTCGGGGTGTATCTGTTACTTTTTTTGCTGCTGCAACGAAATACCTGACCAAAGCAACCTGAAGAGGGTGGGCCTGTTTGGGCTCACAGTTCGAGGGTACTGTCCAACTGTGTCAGGGAGTCATGGGGACAAATGCTTGAAGTGAGTAGTCACTTTGTGTCCAGTCAAGAAACAGAAAGAGATGATGATGACAGTCAGCTTGCCTTCTTCTGATTTAGTGTGAGACCCCAGCAGGTAGAACGGTACCACCTACATTTAGGTGGTAGCTAATAAAATCAATAAAGCTAATCAGACTCATTTCCATGATGATTCTAAATCCTGCCAAGCTGGTAATCAAGATCAACCATCACACACAGTACAAACTATTGCCACTTACCATACTGAAAGAGCAAGAGCGGGTACTCCAAGCAAACAAGACTCATGTGAATGATGCTTGCTGAAGAGGAGAGAGGCCCCAAGTCATCCCCAAGCAAAGCAGCATCTCGGGTGAGAGGACCAGGGCAAAACCACTCCATTCTCCCTCCTTTCCCCCATCTTCATTTCCCGAGCCTAGAAGATAGACAGCAAGGGGGACCTTCAAAATGTCTCAGATGTCAGCGCCCCCATTCCTCGGGAGAGACAAATAGGAGTTCCGGAAGGATCACTTGGCTCAGAAACACTGGGGAAAATAGTTTGCTTGGTAGATTTCTCTAAGAAAGTTCCCAACTGTGAGAAATGCCTTTCTCAATGAGATTGACAGATGAGTTTCCGGGAACGTGACTTGACACACAGTTGGACTAGTTTGTTGAGAATTGATTCTCTGTTATCTTAAGTAAATCTGTTTCTTCTATTTTCAATAAACCTCTCAGAGGCCTGTTTACAAATTTTCACTTTTAAAAGAAAATGTCCAGAGCTGTGGAGATAGTGCCATGGTAGACTACTTGCCTAGCATATATGGGGCTTTAGGCTCAGCCCCAGCACTACACAGGAAAAAAAAAAGAAGAAACAATAAAACTAAGATGTCATAGTCCATATGAAATCTGTAAGAATGAACAACAAATCATCATAATGTTCCTAGCTTTGCTATTTGCATTGTTTTGTCTCAATCAATACTCTCTCTCTCTCTCTCTCTCTCTCTCTCTCTCTCTCTCTCTCTCTCTCTCTCTCTGACATACACACTATTGTGAATTTTATGAGAGTAAATTTCTTGGTGTCAGTACATTTTATTCTAAGTATTTCAACATGTACCACTCCCATTAAGACAATTTCAGAAATAATGACGATGCCATTGTGGAGCTCAGAAAAGTCAATATAGTGTTCAATATATTCTAAGCCAGACATGGTGCCTTAGGCCTGTGATCCCAATACTCTGGAGTCAGGAAAAGTGCTGTGAGTTTGAGGCCAGCCTGGGCTACATAGTGAATCCCAGGCCAGTCTGGGATAAAGTGAGACTCTGTCTCATAAACCACCCCCTGTGTGTGTGTGTGTGTGTGTGTGTGTGTGAGTGAGAGAGAGGGAGAGAGAGAGAGAGAGAGAGAGAGAGAGAGAGATCTACATGTTCCAACTTTCTCAGTTGTTCTTACAGTCCTCTGCTGTTTTTAAAATATCTAGGATACAGTATGATTTGCATTATATTTGATTATCATATATTAGTCTCCTTTAATCTAAACTAATACTTCTGCCTCTTATGACACCCTTTTTTCTGAAGAGTATGAGACATTCGTCTTATAGAATGTTCTTCTAATGAATTTGCCTGGATGCTTCCTTATGATACGGTTCAGATTATACAATCTTGGAAGGTGTCTTAGTTTGCCTTCTGTTGCTGTGGTAAAACACCCAATGCAAGGGAGGAAAGGGTCTGTCTTACACTTCCACATCACAGTACATCATTGATGGCAGGAACTCAACCAGGAACCTGGGGGCAGGAACTGAAGCAAAAACCGTGAAGGAACATTGCTCACTGGCTTACTCCCCATGGCTCTCCTAGCCTGCATTCTTATACAACACAGGCTCACTTACCCAGAAATAGAATCACCCACAGCCTGCTGGACCCTTCCATGTTAATAATTAATCAAGACAATGCCCCACAGGGCAATATGATGAAGGCAATTCCTCAACTGAGTTTCCTTCGTTGGAGGTGACTCTATTTTGCGTCAAATTGACAAACACCAACCAGCACACAGCCATGACTTAAGTAGCATTATGCTGCTGAATAGATCTCATTTGCATTTGAGAACCACTGCCAAGTAGCTCAAATTGTGGCCAGTTCTTAATGTTTTTAAAATTTATATTACAAAAGCCATCATTAAATTGTCAGCACTAACAGATGCATATCCAAGACATTCCATATGCTGTCTCATTAAGTTTCTTAACAATTCAGTAGTTACTGTTATTACAGCTTCAAAAGTGAGAAGACTGGAGATAAGATAATCCTACAACCAACAAACTTCAAAGACAAGGGTAACCTCCAGACCTGTGTAACTCCCAACTCCACAGCAGAGTCAGGCCTCCCAGCTGTCCATTCAAAGATAATGCAGAAGATGACGGACAGGGGCTGGTCCAACCTTGAGGCAGGGCTGGAAGGAGAAAGAAGCTGCAGAGGTCAGGCAGGGCTCCTTTACTGATCACCAGTGTACTTGGGATATGATGAGGTGGGGCAGACAGTCTCACTAAGAAGAATTGAGGAGGATGGATGCCATCCAGGTTCTTCATGGGAATATCTCACAAGGCACTGCATGATTATGAAGCTAGAGTTGGCTTTGCTTTGATTTTAGGAGATCAACGGGTCAAACATCAGAAGGAGGGGGCGGGCAACAGAAAAACCAGTGGAATCAACAGTCACATAAAAGAAATCAGACATTTGTTTATGGGATGGAGATCATATTGATTAACATGGAGATACGTTCAGGCAAGATATCAATTAGGACATGGGAGGAAGTGGGGAATTGACCAAAAACACCATGGCCCTAAGCTTTCTGCATCAATGTCAGCTTTGGGACCAGAGATGAGGATAAATGGTGTTGTGAGGACTGCGAGTGTTAGATAACTAAAAAAGGCAACATTTGCAGTTTACAACAGACCTGTTGGCACCTCAGATATCCAGTGGGGCTCAGGTGGCCACATTGAATTCAGGACCTGGGTTTTAGGATGGAAATGGACAATTAAGACTGTAACCTCTGGGCTTTGGCTCAGTAGTCACAAGAAGATGAATTTGCTCTGATTTACAAATTTCTTCCAACTTCCAATAATTATGGGGTTGAATAGTCTATTCTATAAAAATTTATGTTGAATGTAACTTTATTCTGTCATGTGATTCTCCCTGTCAGGATTCATCAGCAAGTAAGAAAGAAAATAGTACTGCCCATGTGTGCCTTATATTCCAGTGAAAAGAGAAAACAATGATGCTGAGTAAAGTTCATGTTCTGATAATAATAGAACTAGAAATCAGAGCTTGTGTATGCTGTGGGGGTAACTCCTAGTGTGTGTGTGTGTGTGTGTGTGTGTGTGTATACACAAGTACCACCATGCCTGTGTGGAGATCAGAGGACAATTTGGGTGACTCCATTCTCTCCTTCCACCATGTAGGTCTCAGGAATTGAACTCAAATCATCAAGCAGGATGGAGGCACATTCCTTTACCTGCTGAGCCATCTTGGCTGCTTGGAAATTTGGTTTTAAATGAGATAGTCAGCATAGCTCACTTTACTTTGAAGGTGACTGTGGTAATTGATTACATTAATTTTGAATGTAATTGACTTCCATAATCTCATAGGAGACACTCTTAGGTGGTCACTAATGGAATGTGTATGGCCTTTTTGGAGGAAGTGTGACTCTGTGGGGGCAGACTGAGGTTTCCTGTGCACAGGATACTGCCTAGTGTCTCAGTCGACTTCCTGTTGCCTGCAAGATGTAGGCCTCTCAGCCCCTGTCTGCCTGTGCACTGCCGAGCTCCCACCATGATAATGGACCGAACATCTGAAACTGTAAGGGATCCACCCCAGTTAGATGCTTTCCCTTTAGAAGAGTTGCTGTGGTCGTGGTGTCTCTTCACAGCAACAAAAACTCTAAGAAAGTGACACTTGACCAGTCTTTTAAAAATTATTTTCACGTATGTGTGTGTGCCTGCTTGTCTGTATGTGCAGCACATGCATGCAGTACCTACAGAGGCCAGAAGGCATCACACCCTCTGGAGCAAGAGACAGGATGTAAGCTACCTGATGTTGTGTGGTAACCAAACCTGGGTCCTCAGCAAGAGCAGCAAAGGCTCCTAACCACTAAGCCATCTTTCCTGCTTCTTGATCAAAGTCTTTAATGGAGACTAGTCCCATGGCTTTCTCAGGAAAGAGTTCATAGGAAAGGAGAACAACCAATGCAAAGGCCCTAAGACAAAAAAAAAATGTTCTATAAAATGACGAGATTAGAAACAAAGGACCATGTAGAGGGGGATGAAGGGAAGTTACCTATTGGAAACTTCAGTGTCAATGCAGTAGTGTTGGGATACAGGGCCTTTCTGGGTGGTTTGGGGCTTGAGGGCTCCACCACACACATGGATTCACACAATTATGTCTAGAGTGGGCTGGCTAAAATTAGGGTAGGTATATTGTAGGTGTATTGTATCCCGCTGCCATGTGATAACACAGCAAGGAAGCCCCGGCCAGATATTAGCTTGAACTTGATATTGAGCTTGAACTTCCCAATCTGTAGGACTGTGGGCCGAAGAAATGTCTGTTTGATGTGAATTACAGTCTCACAATATGGGTTACGTCGCACATTAAACTCCCACTAGAGACATGCCCGTCATGTCACCTTTCTTCTCCCCAGACCTGGCAGGACATTAAAATTTTTCATGTAGCTGATTTTTCATAATCATCAGCAGAACTCTTGCTGAAATGAAAACCTATTTGTGTCCTTGTGTTTCCCAAACAATAATCGAAAAGCATTAATATACTTCACTCTGTTTCTCAGACACCTGCTGTGTGTTTCTTACCGCTCTGAACCGAGCTTAATAGCTTCACATTTATTATCTTGCAATTTCTGCATGTCTGAAATTTTAGATGATCGGACTGGGCTTTTCAGGGAGGCTCTAGGCTAAGTCTGTGTCTGTTACCTGATGCCTCATGTATCCTTTGGCTCTTGGTTTTTTGTTTGTTTGTTGTTTGTTTGTTTGTTTGTTTTTAAACCAACATGTATAATCTGTCTCTTTATCTCCCTCTTTCTTTCCATGCTTCAGCCACCACTTTGCTGCCTGTGTGTTTGGTGTTCCTGTCTCCCTTTTAGGTGGCTGGTACTCATGATGGTTAGCACACATTGTCAGCATGAAACACCTTAGAGTCACCTAGGAAGAGAGTCTCGGGGAAAGGTTGTCTACATTAGGTTAGGCTGTGGGCTTATCTATGAAAGGTTGTCTCAACTACGCTAACTGACTTGGTAAGACCCAGCTCACTGTGGACAGCACTATTCCCTATGCAGAGTGTCCTGAGCTGTATCAGAGTGGAGAAAACAAGCTGCATGCCCACAGCAAGTGCATCTAAGCACTTTAGTTTTTCTCTCCTCTTGGCTGTGGATGTGATGTGGCTGGTTATTTAGAGTCCCTACCTTGACTTCCCTACAATGATGAACTCGAACCTGGCACTGGGAGTCAAATAAACCCTTCCTCCCCCAGCTGTTTTTTTTTTTGTTTGTTTGTTTGTTTTTTTTGTTTTTTGTCAAGGTGTTTTCTCGCGGCAACAGGAATGAAACTAAGACAAGGGTGATGGCACTGGGCCCAGTCAGATAATCTCAGATTTGACTTGAAATGTTTGCTTAATCATGCCTATAAAGCCTACTTTGTTGGCAAGGAAGCATTCCATTGGTTCTGGATCTTAGACTGTGAATGCCTGTGGGGGGACCATTATTCAGCCAGTCAGTCTAGGAAGTGAGGGGTAAAAATAAGGAAGGAGAAACAGAGGGAGGCAGCTGGTGAATGGGGGACCAGAGGATCACCCAGACAGTACAAACAAGTGTAGGAAGCTGTCCAAAGCCTCTGACCCAGAGGAAGCCGTTCACGGCAGCTAGCAGCTTCACAGGAGAAACCTCCAACTTCACTCACTAAGGCTTTAGAGGACTAGCCAAAACACCACAGAAAGGCTTAGACCCTAAGAACCCCACGTGCCTGTAGTCCCAGTACTCAAGAAGCAGAGGCAGGAAGATCATGAGTTCAAAGCTAGCCCAGGCTACACAGTGAGTTCCAGCCCAGTGTGGATTGCAAGACCCTGTTGATGAGGGCAGAAAGAGAGAATGGGAGGGAGCAGGATGGGAGTGGGGGAGATTAGGAGGCTAGAAATGTCATAGTAAATCATAGACAAGTTAATCTAAGCAGGAGCAAGTCATATCTCACAAGAGACTAGCAGTCCAAATCAAGGCACAGCAGACTTGCTTTCTCCTGAAATCTCTCTCCTAGGCTCACAGCAGCCTTCTTGCTGTGTCCTTACATGGCCTATTGCCTGCTGTCTCTTCCTCTTCTTACAAAGACATCAGTCTTATTGAGTTAGGGCCACATTATGATCTCATTCTGTTCCGATAACCTCTGGCAACGCCTTGGCCCTAACACAGTCATGTTGGAGGTTAGAGCTCCAGTCTATAAGTTAGTGTATGGGGGTGGATAGCACAGTTCTGTCCACAACTATGGGTTATCAGGATGGTCTGGATAGGACAATATCCCAGGACTGCACCAAATATTCACAGTATCTTAGTAAATAAGAGTTTGACACAATGAGACCCCGGGATGTACAGATACTATACTATGGAGGAAAGGGCTCTAATTCTACTCAGTTTACATCTCTCTTCTAGCCTGACTGCTGAACATGCCCCTAGATGACAGCCTAAAGGCAACAAAAGGGGACAGAAGCCTTGTATGGTCCAGGATGCATATTTTGTCTTATTGGCTTTGGCTTCGTGTACCAGGGTTTAATTGATTTGGACTTGGGTCATTCACAATTTCACAGATGGTAGAACAAGCTATATTCAATGTCTCCTTTCCCTGGGAAGAGACAGACTTCATTTTATGACTCTTACTTACATTTATATAAGCATATTTATGTTTAATGTTTGAAAATCCAGGTGGCATATGCATTTAGTATTATGAGGAGCTCTCCTTTGCAAGCGCTAAAGGAGGAGCTCCAGAGACACATAAGTATGTGAAAGATGCAGTAGGAAACGTTAACTCGGGGGCCAAAATTGTAAAGCTTTATGTAGCTGGGGAGATAGGGGCTGCAAAGATTGTTCAATGGTTAAAAGCACTGGCTGCTCTTCTAGAGTGTCTGGATTCAATTCTCAGCACCGAGAACTGTCTGTAACTCTAGTCCCAGGGGATCCTCTTCTGGACTCTGTGGTCACTGGACACAAAATCCATGCAGGCAGAACACCCCTACACATAAAATAAATAAGAGAAAAATTAGTATTTTAAAGCTGGGAGGGCAGGCTTGACTCAAGAAGGGCCATGGGGCTAGGAGCAGAGGTCACTGCAATGGGGTCTTGCATGAGAACGAAGAATCTAGACTCAACACAAACTCCAGCAGGCACAAATAGGGACTTGTAATCAAGGAGAAGGTGGGGTCAGTGAGATAAATTACTAAGAGAACATATTGAAGATAGGAAATTCTAGTCAAACTATCACGTCATGTAAGCTGATAAAATACCAATGGTGGTGATATGGGGTGGGATGGGTAGGAGCATATATACCAAAATGAGTTAGCACAGTTCTTTCTGAACACGGATTCTACAAGGACAGAAGGGAAGTTAAAAGTTATAGCTGATTAGACAATAGTGTGAATAAATTTACAATGGAAAGAGGAAATCTTTGAATAGGTAGATAGGTAGCTAGTTAAATAGGTAGGTAGGTAGACAGACAGACAGACAGACAGACAGACAGACAGACAGACAGACAGACAGATAGATAGATAGATAGATAGATAGATAGATAGATAGATACGTACGTACGTACGTACGTACATACATACATACATACATATATACACAGATGATAAAATATATGACAGATAGATAATAGGTGTGATATGTTCTAGATGATTGGTAGGTACACCAATAAGTTGATTGATGCCTACTTTTTTTTTAACTTATCATGTTATTAGGGCTTTG